ACAGTAAAAACACTAGATTATGATTACCAACAAAGAGCAGCTGCCATTCATTGTCAAGTTCATGCCATGTTACATGATATTATATTTCGTCTTTTCACATAACCAGTACCTAATAGCCTTCCGATTGAGATTAGCATCCCATACCGAAGCTTTTAAGAAAGGGCAGGGTTTAGCTGGTTCACCCGATTGTTCAGTTTTCTATTTAAACGTTGGGCATGACTTATTCCAAGACAGTAGGAGCTGCCCATCTAAAAGTCTGTGCTTTCTACAGCAGTCCCTAAGCAGTTGCGTCTCCTATTTAATCAAACTCACACTTTCGTTTTGTCATGTTTCGAGTCTCAGCAGTAGCACTTCAATTGTCCGTGAGATCAGGGAGCAGATCATAAAGATGAAGTTCCCTATACCTTGGCTTTTGTATATTTTAAAATGTTACCAGTGGACTGAAGCTTCCGTACAGTTAGTGGAAATCAACAACCAGGCGAGTTCCCGCTATAGCAAGTACAGGGTATCATGTTGATTTTTTTATGCTTACAGTTTGTCACAAAATCTGTGCATGCTCTGGAGATAACACCGCGCATCTAACTTGACAGGCAATTGGCAGAGTGCATTACATAAATACATTCAATCACCATGAAGTCCAGCACAGGTAAAAAAAGGTTCAAGCGGACTAGCCTTTTCCTGGCCTCAAGCGAGAAACAGGATTGTTCCTGTAGAAAACCTAGCATAACCTCAGCTTTTTAAGCAGGTTATTGACAATTTATTATTTTTATTGTGCAATAATAAAGCCATACATTGTAAAACCTCTCGCGCGCACACTTACACAGCCAGCTGGGTCATGTTAGAAATTAAAATCCAATGTTTTGATGGATAATGGTAGCTTAAACATACTCGTCAGTTTAAACCTCTTTTATACTCGAAAACCAGAAATTCTTGTGCACAAGCAGTTAAGCTTTTACTCCTGAAATCCTTCATCTACGGCTTAGCATTTAGCATGTGGCCTAATCATCACGATTTCCTAAAGAGGTGAAATTGAGTAGAGAAATGACGTGGTGGGTGAAACCGAACCTACTGATTTAACACTACAACTAATAGATGTCGAGATATACCATGCTGAATATTTCAAATGAAAGTACAGTTTGATTGAATACATTATTGTTTAAACGAGAGTAGCATGTGACAACATCCGGAACCAAACCAGCCGTGAAGTATTTCCTGTATATTTGGAGTATTCATTACCAGCGTTTAGAATGTGTTACATGAAAAAGTGGATGAAAGAGAATATAAGGAGAAAAGGCGGGTTAAGCATATATTGAATGTGAAAAGTACCAATCCTCTGTTTGAATGCAACAACGGACATTAGAGACGAGGCGAGCAGCACCGGACGAGGGATTCCCTCTCTTCTCTTGCTCATGAGAGCCAGATCACAGCTGTTTTCTGCCGGAACAATATTCTGTCTGTAACACTACCGCGCCTTTTTTAATTAAAGTATCCCATTTGAATCTTTTCAGAGACTCCATTTAGTCTCATTTTAAAGCTTCTCTCCTGGACGCGAGAACAAAGAACATATTTAACAGTCATTAGGGGTCAAATAGATGGGATAAATAAATGGATACATGTTTGGACTTTAATACGCTTTGTGACACACTCACCGATATAAAAGGCACTGATGGTGAGCGGGGCAGCGACCATCTGATCCACCGCCACCTTCCCGGTCACCGCCCTGATCCCGCCCCCCGGCAGCGCGCGCTCCAGCCCCCGCAGCCAGAAGTAGTTGAAGTTGGCATGGAAACAGAACCCCACAGTGGCCACGCGAGCCGTCTGACACCAGTCGATGCCGGGTCTCGCGTGTTCCCCCCCCAGCACGCTCTGCTGTATGACGTCGGCCGAGGCGAAAAGCGCGGTGTAGCCGAGCACGTTCCCGACGTAAGGGTGAGCCCTGAACACAGCCCAGACCCGCCGCATGGTGACCTGCCAGAGTCAACAATAACACAATAAACACTAGGGAAGACTGCTTCACAATATGGACATATTTATTAGCGAGGAAGGCTTTGCATGTGTGCATTATTTTGAATCTGATATTCATTTCGTCTAATTATGTTTTACTTTCAGGAGTAGAAGAAGTAGGCTATTCAGATCTTGTAAAATTGGAACTAGACACTGTAAAAAATAAAGGTAAAATCCCTGCATTCAAAATCTTATTTTAGTAAAGAAAATGCTAGCCTACAACACTACTTTTTTTATTAGGCTAAATTTATATTAATTATCTAGGACTTAATAAAGTTTAAATACAATTTTAAAAATGTGAGATAATTGATTATGATCACTCACTTATAGTGATTTAAATGGCATATCTAAAATGGTAATTGCTGTGTCTTGAACCACTCTAAGTTATGACTATTAAAATAATATTTTAATAGTCATCATAACTTAGAGTGGTTCAAGAGACAGTATTTTAAAAATACAGAATAAGTATAAACTTACCTTTCAGAATATAGCTCTTCTGACCCTCTCCTTATATCACCAGGGCCAAAGACACTCACAGAGCTCCTCTCTGATTGGTTCTGTTGGACCAGAGGGGGAGGGGCTGAGGTCTTCTCACCAGGTCAAAGTTCTGCCACCAGCGCACAGAAAGTGTGATAAGACCTTTATCAGCCTAGAGAAGAATCTGAGAAAACAACATATGTGAGGAACAGCAGCAGACTGAGAGGTTGTGGAAAATACATCCTGACAAGCTACTGTACAGTTACTTATGCACAAAAACTGACTGAAGCTTCCTTAGTGTCCATTGCACACATGTTTTATGGCCTCTTCTTGTACCGCATGAAAGCCACTTGAGTCATACATGTAGACACATAACATCAACTTACCACAGATTTGTGTCACTTGGGGAAGAGTTGAAGTGGAGACCGCAGCAGACAGTGAGCTTTGCAGCTCTCTGGTCAGAAGCACATGTGCTGGTGTCTCTATAAATAGGCCAAATGCCACTCCTCAGTTTCTGTGCTTTGGGTAAATTGCCATGGACTTGTGGAATCAAAAAGGCCAGAAAGGTGTTTGAGAATACAGGGTCTTCTTGTGTTATAGTCAGTGAATTTATTAGGATTATTCTTAAATTTATGTTTTGAAAATACCAGAAAAGTGAATGCCAGTCCTCCCCTATCCCTCCCCGTTTGACTTTTCCAAATAGGTTTATTAAACAGACAGACAGACAGACAGACAATGAGATAGGGTTAGGAAAGAAAGAGAAATATAATCCTAAAAGAAAATAGGGGTAAACATAAGTTCAGAAAAAACTAAAAGATGACCGTAGACAAATGTTTAAAAGTTAGTACATATATCAATAAAAGGCCGATAATAAAATATTTAATAACCTTTCTACACTGCGATGAGTCATATGCTTGTTGTCACATGTTGCTCTTTCCATATTTTATATAACATTTAAATAAGACAGTTAACCAATAACAAGAAACATAGACCACATATCTCAATGGTATTCTGGATGTGAGAGTAACACCAAATCATACTCAACTGAAACTCAGGATGAGGTCAGTTTTAATTACTAAAACCATGAAAGCAAAACATTTTTTTTTATTTGAGTGCAAATGCTAGCCTCTCTCCGCCCACCTGCTTCCATAGATATGTAAAACTCTGTACATGGAAGGTGTGCTATTGAATTGCAAAGGTCAATTAAAGCCACTAGCAACCATCTTAGCTCTTCCCTCTGAGAATGTGATAATTAGAGCCAGAGTTTAAGCTAATCAATTAAGAGCTTGTTAACTGGCTCAACTGGTGTGTTCGTGTCTCGCTGTATTTAACAAGCTGCCTTTGGTGCGACACACAATGGAGACGCGTGCCCACAACTCCACGAGCGGTTGACTTCTCAGATAATTGCCTCTTTCTTTTCAGAGCCTCTCATCGTGTCTCACTTCCTCTTCCACTATCAATTTGTCAAGTTGTTCTCTATTCATTCTGCTGGGGAGGGGAAACGGGGGAATGTGTGCATTTGAATTGAGCGTTTGTGTCACTTGACTTCATTTGCGCACACAGACACACAATACCTGCAAAGACATACATAAACAATGAAATGACCACACCTCCTTCTCTCTGAGGCAGCCTGACAGAGGAGGGCTCAGTCCTCAGTGCAGATTGCAAAGATACGAAGACACACAGCAGCTGACGACGAATAAGGTACAAGTGATTTTATTTTTTATGGAGATGAAGCTGAACAAAACTAAACATAACAAACTGCAATTATTGTATGTGTCTAATTGATCAATCCTCTGTGTCAGTTGGGGTGAGAAGAATATTGTTATTTTTAAAATGACTTGATTTTAAATCCTGCATTCAATATGTTAAGTAAAAGTGCATTTTTATTAGCAGTAACATTTAAATTGAAAGTCAGATTGTGCAGAAAACAGCTATTGGTGTTATATTTGTAACTATTTATATTATTAGATTAGTCTTGCCATTAATATGTAAGCAGCATTTAATTTTGAAGCTGGTTGAGGTGAAGCAGTTTTCTATTCATATATTGTACTGTTGAGCAGAATACCTTTGAGCATTGCATTGTATTTTAGAAACTCAGGTTGTGTATATAATTGCTTTATCTGCATAGTTACAACTGTGAAATAAATTAACTGTTCAAATTACAATTACACCTTTTAATTTAGCACTGAGGAGTATTAAGTAGCATACAAATGTAATTACAATTGCAAGTACCCATATTGTAGTTACGTTTGTACAATTTAAAAACGGTTTTATTTCCAAGAGTGCTACATTGTGCTGGATAGGCTGCTTTAGTTTATTGGCACTAATGAATGCATTATACATGTTATTTAATGTTAGGAATTTGAAAGAGATGCATTCCTAACATATTCCTCATGTTAAATAACTTAAAGTGCATTTCACCTCTATATAATTTTCAACAAAATGTTGTCTTTTCTCACCTTTCTAATCCTTTAAAGGTCCCATGTCAATCAATCAATCAATCAATCAATCAATCAATCAATCAATCAATCAATCAATCAATGGATCAATATTTATATATAGCCCAATATCACAAATGTTACATTTGTCTCAGTGGACTTCACAGTTTGTATAGAATATCAGTATGACAATACGACACCCTCTGTCCTTGGACCCTCACATCGTACAAGGAAAAACTTCCAAAGAAGCAAAAACCCCACAGTTTAAAGGGGAAAATGGGAGAAACCTCAGGGAGAGCAACAGAGGAGGGATCCCTCTCCCAGGACGGACAGACGTCCAATATATGCCGTGTGCAAATCAAAAAGATAATACATTTACAACATAGGTAGACCAAATGTTTGGAAATGCATGTGTCTATAATAAGATGAATCCACGAGGATGTCAACAATCCTTTGGGAGCCATCAGGAAAGTAGTATGATGAAAGTCAGGCAGGACCACAGTGACAGGTTCAGCCAGGACACAGGATCCAGGACTCAGGATCTAGGACACAGGACTGCAGCAACAGGATCAGCCACGTCTCAGGATACCGGCGTAGATAGATACCAAAAAGAAATTTGGGGAAGCTGGTTATTCGGAACATGAGAGTACACAGGTACAGACAGAGAGAAGGAAGAAGTAAGATGTCCCCCAACAAACTAAGCCTATATCAGCAAAACTAGGGGCTGAATTTAATCAGCCCTAACTATAAGCTTTATCAAAAAGGAAGGTCTTAAGCGGATAGGGTGTCTGCCGTCCGAACACAAAACTGGAAGCTGATTCCACAAAAGTGGAGCTTGATAAGAAAAGGCTCTGGCTCCCATTGTACTTTTAGAGACTCTAGGAACAACCAACAACCCTGCATTCTTGGAACGCAATGCCCTAATACAGGAGTCTGCAACTTTTTTGACCAAAAGAGTGCTCCTTTTTCCCAAAAATATTTTTGTCTGGAGCCGCAAAACATATTTCATAGCTTGATAACTTATAAAGTTGTATTTATTGTTATA